CATGCAGGCAGCTCTATACACCCCCTAGGGTGTCTTCTTATCCCAGTCTGAGTTCCAGCCCTGACTGCCCACCAGACTTGCCTTCTGCATGCCAGACGAGGGGGGGATTGTGTTAAATGCCACAGCACCAGTGGCATCACTGTAAGCCTGGTAGTGGATAGACCTATCCCATATTATTTGTTAATTGGTTATTTTCACAGAACACTACTCCCCTAGACCAGAAAGAATTGCTAGAAAGTAGCAAGCAGAAGAGCAACAGAGGAAAAAAGACAGGAAAAACCAGCCAGAGCAGTTGGGAACTATCCAGTAATTAACAGGCTAATTTTTTTGACAGAATCTAAGCAAAAACAGACAGGCTATTGAGTCCTGCAGGAGGTATTTATGAAGGCTGCACCATCAGCTCTGTAACAGTAAGCTTACAAAACGTGATCCAAGTAGTAGCTTTATAAAACTCCTCAGGAGAGGTTCTGTTCTTTGTGTGGTGCATGGTAGTGGTGAGGAAGCAAATGCAAACTCCAGAAAAATTTTTAAAAACTCAATGTAGGGTTCTTTGCTAGCTGTCTTGAGCAATTGGAAGACTGAAACCTTAGATCCTTATGATTTTTGTTTTAGGTAACTACAGGTCATTAAGGAGACACAAGATATATAGGGCTGTCCTGGCAAGTAGGGTGTGAGAACTCTGACTAGGCCAATGATAGTTTAGAGCAGAAGGAAGGAATAAAACGACCTTCAGATTGATGTGCAATGGAGACTATACTTGAGGTAAAATTTCAGTGGCTGTCTGAAACATGAACCTTTATGGAAATAATGGAAGGAATGGTTCCTCACAAGAAAATGTTCTTACTTTCCTGACCTTTCTTCCAGAAGTAATTGCCATCAGGAATAGGATTTTGATAGTAAGAAAGCATACGAAAACTTTTCTAATTGGCCCGATGGGGCCTCAGTGAGAGGACAAAGGACCAAACTGAAATTCCATTTAATTAGCTAGTGCCAGATAGCTGTTCTAAGACTTGTGATCACTTGAGGAAGCAAACCAAGAGATATGAGGATGAACTGCCAAGATGTCTACATAGCCAATTAGTAGTCGGTTTCCATGGGCTAAAAGTTGTATCTGCAAGGAAATGTACTAAGCTGCATAGTCATCTAAGAGAAACTAGCATGGACCCAAGGAAGACTTGAAGATGATGCAAGTTTTTGGCCTCCCCGCATCAAAACAATATTCCCCATATTTTTAACAGGCTCAGACACTTGCACAATTCCTATATTGAACAGTCAGCTCTATCATCCAAGGAAACAGATGAAGAACTGCAATATCAATCTGTCAGTTTCCAGGGTGTCAAGTTAACTTCTGACACAGCATGAAACCTGGTTACAGAAGTTCCTCAGAAAATGGGAGACATCATGTCTTAAAGACTGATAGGTGAAGCACAGTGGGCAATCAAAGTTTTCTAGTTCAAAAGGAGGCAATGATAATTATCTTCACTCCCCAGATTTTCCTGGCTAATTGCTGTGGAAAAGAGAGGATGGCAGGAGTCTACCCACTGTCCTGACCAAAGGAATGAAAATGCCACACCAAAGAATATCTGTTCTTGGAACAGTAGGGATGAACTGCTATAGGAACAAGCCTAACTAAGAGAAGTCCCAGGTTGAGATTATGCAGTTGAGGATTAAAGGATTCAGCTGCCTTTCCCCAGGTGACAGTTCTGTTGTGCCAGTCTCTCGATATTTTCAGTTTACCTTCTACGCAGGCCCAGATGGCCTGATGAACCATGAAGATTGGTGGTGTTTTATTCAAGAGGAGCCAACACAGGCTCCCTTTTACTGTACAATAGCCGTTAGCCATGAGGCTTCTACACTTGGACTAGGAGTGTGATCAGCTCAGACCAACTGCCTCTTTGTTTTTCCCAACTGAGAGGAAGGAGGCCCAAAGAGGTCAGGTACAGAGGATAGCCCACTGCAATGTGCATGCAAAAGAAAGAGTAAGACTCAGTAGGTGCAGAGCAAGGGTGAGCGCATAAAAGAATCATGTGACATCAAGTGAGAAAAACTCTCTCATGAGGAGTGTCTGAAGTGTTTTGGTGTCTTTGCTTTTGAAATTGACTAGAATAGCAGCTTGATGGACCAGGGAAAGGGAGTAAGAGATGCAACCATGCATGTGGCTTTGAAGGCAGGAACAGAGGCCATAACTATGTCTATTAGGGTGCATCTACACTGCACCATAGGTTGAAATAAGATACGCAATTTGAGCTACGCATATCTTATTTTGATCTTATTTCAAAATAGCTTATTTCGTAGTTTGGCGCTGTCTACACAGCACCAAATTTCAAAATAACTCACTATTCCAAAACGTCCCTAATTCCTTGTGGAATGAAGTTTACAGGGATGTTGGAATACTGAGCCAGAAATAATGGGCTTGCAGTTAAGATATGGGATAGGTATTTTGGGATACTCTGGTATCCTGAAATAGCGTTGTGGTGTAGACATAGCCTTACTGAACACTTGTCCATGTAATCTTTGAAGGAGGCAATACATAGGTCCTTCTGGCTAGTTTGGAGATCGACTTTTCCATCTGCAATATATAGCTAAACTTGACTCTTGGATTTCTTGACATCATACTGTTTAAAGTAGGAGTTGGATTGCATCTGCATTAGGCAGGATCACTTGAAAGTGACTGTCTTCACCCACAAGGAATTCCAGATCCTTAGACTTGTTGAGCTTGCAGAAATCTCTTTTAGGGACATCTGTCTCCTCATTAGATTATTCAGAGTAGATTAAAAAAGTTTGGTCAGGTCCATGATGTGAAAATGTCTTCCTCTTGCCTGAAGCACTGCAAGCAAGGACAAAGGAATTTAATCCACCTCTGAAGGAGAACACCTATATTTTATAGATCTATGCTTTTTGCACTTTTTGTAATACTTTTCCTTAGCCTTCTTTTAAGGGAAAAAGAAGGGAAAGGGGAAGAAGGGAGAAAGAAGACCATAGATGGAAAAAAGGCAGAAGAGAACAGAAATATTACCAATAAAAATAGAGAAAAACTGCTAGCCTTACTGCTAAACGTCGGGCATCTGGCATAACAAAACTGGTTAAGAGCCACTGGTTAAGAGCCTGGAAAGAGATATTTGCATATACAGGTTGAACTTCTCTACTCTGGCACCCTCAGGACCTGACCAGTGCCAAACAAGAGAATTTGCCAGACCACAGAAGGCCAGTATTGTCTAGCAGCATTACCAACACTTCCACTGCTTACTGGGCTGTTAGAAGACATTTAGGGATAATTCAGAGCTAAATAACAGCACAGAACACTGAGATCCAGGACTGATGGCTTTAAATAAGCTATATGAGGTCACAGGAAACTTGGCCATATGCATGATAAGTGAACATCCAGCTAACTAAAATCATGCCGGACCACAGATGTTGCTGGACCAGAGAGTGCCGGACTAGAGAGATTCAACCAGTCTTTGTCTCCAGAGACAATTCATTGGAGCTTCTAGAAGACTATTAGAGTGTCACTCCAGGAGAATCCTTTTTCTACTTACAAAGTAGATTGATGGCTTTTAGAAAATATTTGATTTTCTTTGAATAGATACCAAAGTCTAGCCTACCACTTCACTATGTGAGCCTGTAATTCTGGAATAAAATTGAAAAAAAATCTTCAAAACTTGAAGAGACTATGATTCTATACAATTTGCTACCTGACTGAAGAACAGATTTGGTGGAAAGCAATGGAAAAGCACACAATTCCCCATAGGCTGTGCTTAATTTCTGTGTTCTAAGAGTCAAATTCTTTGCATCTTGAAGTTAGTGGCCAAACTCCCTTTCCTTGTTTGTTTTTTGTTGGAAATGATGCTAATAAGTCATATGAACAGATGGAACAACAAATTAGGGCCACACGGATCTACCAAAGACATTACTACGGTTAAATGCAGTATGTGTTCTAACAACACTATGTCAAAAGTTGATTGTAAACAGACACACTCCCTTAGAGTGAAATCGTTAAAAAAGTCAGTACTTACCATGATCACTAAACAACAGCTGCTTCCATTTCTGTCTCTCTACCTCTGAAGCTCTAAATCCCAGCACAGATTTCAGTTCTTGTAACACTCTTTTGGATTCCTCTTTCTCACGTTTTTGTCTCTCTCTCTCTTCTTGGGAAAAGCAATAAAAGTCCTCCCTTTTGTACTCATTGTCCAAACCTGTATCTTCAACATATGCTTCCAATTCCTAAGGCAAAACAATAAATGGCTCTTTTAATCCACATATGCCCCAACAGCAAAGCTCTTTGAGGTACGTCAGTATTTTAGCACTTTAGAAGGAAGATCAGGCCCCAAGTCCATAGACAATCACGTTTTGCATGGCAGGGATTTAGAGGCCAGACTGCTCCCAGTCACTCTAGTATAAAACTGGAGTAAGTACACTGACAAAAATCAAGATAACTGAAGTCAACAGAGTCACCTCAGATTTACTCTGGTGCAGACAAACAAAGGTTACTCATCTTGTGCAGTAACTGGAGTTCTTTCCCCGTGGATGCTCCACGCTTGGTCTTGGTGTCGTCCCGGTGCCTGAATCGGAGATTTTGTAGCTAGTTGGCATGGCGCATGCATGGCCCGCACCCTCCAGTTCCTTCTCTACCCCGGAGGCCCCACCTCCGAAGCAGAGGAGAGGAGGGTGGGTCGTGGAGCATCCACAGGAACACCATCTCGAAGAACTCCAGTTACTGCACAAGGTGAGTAACCTCTGTTTCTTCTTCGAGAGGTCCCCGTGGATGCTCCACGCTAGGTGATTAACAAGCAATTTTGCCCCATGGTGGCTGGAGCTTCAGAATGTTATGGTAAGCAGATGATAGTACTAGTTAGCCCACTGCAGTGTTGCCTGCACAGGAAAGTGCATAGTGCTTAGCAAAAGTAAGTTGCGATGCCCAAGTGGCTGCCCTGCAAATGTCCATTAGTGGCACATTGCATAGGTATGCTGTAGAAGCGGATACAGCCCTGGTAGAATGAGCTGTCAAGCATAACGGTGGCTGTAGGCCCTTCAGCATGTAAGCGGTTTTTATGCAGATGAACTGTATGTTTTGGGAAGGGTGAACGGAAGACTTTTCCCAATTTATGCGGAAGCCTAGATTTTGAAAGCACTATATGGTCCTCGCTGTTACACGTGCCAATTCTGTCTGCGACAATGCCTTGAGAAGGCAGTTGCAAGTGGAAAATGATTATTCCCATAGAGCGAAGGTGCTCTGTGACTATGGCGAGTACCTTGGAGAAAACCAAAGGGGCCGTGGAGAGACCGAAGGGTAGTACTTGGTATTGGTAGTGGTCGTGGTCTACCACGAATCTCAGGAATTTTCTGTGAGCAGGATGGATTAGGATGTGAAAGTAGGCATCCTGGAGGTCAAAGGCTGAAAACCAATCGCCTCGTTGCAGTGCTGGGATAATGGTAGAAAGTGTGACCATGCACAAGTGCTGAGTTTTTACGAATCTGCTCAGATTGAGCAGATCCAAAATCGGCCTCCAGCCTCCTGATTTCTTTTGAGTTAGAAAACAGCGGGAATAGAAGCTCCTACCTCTCTGCTCATGTTGAACTGGCTCTATGGCTCCTAGATCTAAAAGACGAAGCATCTCTTATCGCAGCAGGGTACCGTAAGAGGGATCCCTGAAGAGGGACAGGGTAGGAGGGTAGGTGGAAGGCTTGGAAAGGAATGGTATGGTGTAACCAGACAGAATAATGTCAAGTACCCATCTGTCTGAGGTGATATAAGTCCATTGGTGGAAGAATGGACGAAGCCCATCTTGGAAAGTTTGCATGGTCAATTTGTAGGGGGTTTTCTAGGCTCTCGACCAAGCATTCAAATTTGCTTGTTGGCCGGTGGAGGTTGAGGGGCCAAGCCAGAAGACTGTCTTCGTCTCTGAGGCCAGGTTCTGTTTCTGTTAGGATTGCCGCTGGTTAAGATAGGACGGGTAATGTGGCCACTGATATGATTGGTAGTGGTACTGTCTCCGCCTGTTGGCAGGTGTATGTATCCCCAACATGTGGAGAGTGGTGCACGAATACTTTTTTTGTGTTGAGGACTTCGTCTTGGCTGCAAACAGGTTTTTGTGGTCGAATGGCAGGTCTTCCACAGTAGATTGGATTTTACATGGGAAGGTAGCTGGGGAAAATGAGGAGGCTCTGCGCATGACAATGGCATTAGCCGTGGTTCTAGTGGCACGCCTGGAAGGCAGCTTTAGAAATGGCGTGTCCCTCCGAAAGTAAGGTGGAAAATTAAGGTCTTTTTGCCTCTGGGATATCATCAGCAAACTCCATGAGTTTGGAGTAATTGTGAAACTCATATTTCGCTAACAAGGCTGAGTACTTTGAGATTCTGAACTGCAAAGTTGCAGAAGTATAAGTGTTACGCCCAAAGAGATCAAGCCTCTTTGTGTCCTTGTCCAGCAGAGTGGTGCGAAAGCAATGTTGTTTTTCCCTCTTGTGTGTGGCTTCCACCACTAGTGATTTCAGTGTGGGATGAGTGAAGAGGAATTGTGAGGTATTGGCGGGTATGCAATACTTTTTGTCTGCATGCTTGAACGTGGGTGGAATTGATGTAGGCGTTTGACAAATTCTGTTGGCCAGGTCTAAAATGGCAGGGTTGATGGGGAGGGCAATTTTGTAGGATGGAGCAGCCTGGAGTATATCCGTGAGCTCATGCTGGAGTAACGCCACCTCCTCTGTGGCAATTTTGATGTCAGCTGCAACGCTCTTTAAAAGATTATTAAAGTGCTGGAAGTCATTTGCAGCTACGGTGGAGGTGGCATGATCCCTTCGTCTGGTGACATAGAGGAGTTGGTGGGCAGTGAAGAATTAGGGGGTGACTCCTCCATTGCTTGGTATGCCTGAGGTTCCAATTGTTGCATCAATATGAATGTTTGAGGTGTAAGAGAGGCAGCATGTTTGTAAGGGCTCAGTTGCAGGCTGTGGTGTTTCCTGTACAGGCAGTCCCAGAGTTACGCAGATCCGACTTATCTCGGATCCGTACTTACGAACGGGGCTTTTCTTGCCCCAAAGGATGCGGGCGGTAGGACCACCCAGACGCACTGCGGTCCTGCCGCCTGCGTCCCCCGGGGTGAGAAAAGCTGCTCCGCGTCTCTCTGGTCTGCTGGGGGGGGCCCCCCCAGCAGACTAGGGAGACG